CCGTACAACGTTAGCATTTACACTGGCATTATTCTGCCGCCGCTTTTGGGAGGATGGCTTGATTGTCACCGTCTTATGCTGGGGGGTCAGTGCCGGGGCCAGAGGTGGCGGGGCTGGTGTGGCAGCCTGAACTGTGACAGGTGAGGTGATAATGGCCTGGTTGGTTCCGGGGATGATCTGGATCTGTCCTCCCTGAGGCATCATTTGAATGGTCTGAGACCCCTGGAACTGAGGAATCACTTGGTACTGGATGTTGGCAGTGGATGTGCCTGCTGGACGTGAAGGGCTCTGAATAGTGAAGACAATAGGGCTGGCCCCTGACGAACCAAGTCCCGCGGGCAGCTGGATAACATTTCCTTTCGCTGAGAGGAACCCAAGGTTTTTGGGTGGAGCTGGGGCAATAGGGGCGGGCTTGATGGGGTGCAGACGGCGTGTGGTTGGCTGAGACGATGGCGTGCTGACTGGGGCCTGGGCAGCCGGAGGCCCGATCTTACTGCAGGTAGCCGCCAGAAGTGCCAGCGGGGAGGGCTGTGAATCCTACATGAGAGAGTGTTGATACACAATTACCAGCAGCACGCTGAGTACTACAAAAGACATTAAACTGGCACAGCTATGTAAGAAAATAGCTTTTTGGGACAGCTGTCAGATATATTTAAGGCTGGAATACACTATATGACTTTTAAAATCTGAATAGATTTTAAAACACTAGGCATCTTATACGCTTGATGAGTCTGTAAATGGTTACAAAGAAAAACTGGGCATCATACGCCAAACGATCACACATTACCAGACTTTCTGAAGTCTGGTCATTCTGAACACAACAAACTCACGCAGAAGCATGTGCCTTGTTGCTCAGAACTGTTCCCAAATTGCCTTAACATGTTTGATCTCCAACGACTGGATGGTTTCATAGTCTAAAGCTAAAACAAATCTGTGTCTGACTCTGTGCCCATCGTAATCTACACGTTTTTCTGTAAAATCTGTCAACTCAAATGTGCAGACTGGCTCTGACTTTCGGCAACTATTGTCAACTTGTCCAGACTGTAAACCGTGTAGTGTATTTCAGCCTATAGTGAAGAAGAGAAAAGTTCAGTGTAGGATTTACTTTGAAACAACTTTCACTCAGAAACTGATATTAAAATTCACAAATAATTCCAAAGAACACTGAATTCAGTAGAAAAACTGAAATTCTTGTTGTAATATTTAGTAATAATATGATTCTTAAAAAAGCTTTTACATTTAAACAATATTTGCTGTCATTTAACTCTGACTTAAAACCAATCTTTAAAATAACTCATAAATGAATCACACTATAAAATATATATATATATATATATATATATATATATTTTTTTTTTTAATTTTCAAAATGAATATCTATTTTTATGTTATGATGCTTACATTCACTTTTAACATTTCTTACACATTCAAACATGAATTATTCATTCACCTTTTGCACCTCACTCAGGTCCAGGGAGTGTAAACAGTCATCCATTTCAACTAAACTGCATTGCATCTGATGAATAACTTCTAATTCATGAGTGAAGGCACAAACATTTCATTTGAAAGTTTTGACTGTCACACTAAAGAAATCAATAAAAACAGCAAATTAACTTTTTGATTAAGTGTGAGTCAGTATTGTGTTTTTAATAAATGTTTCGTTACTATGTTATTGCTATGTTAATTTCCTCCTTTTTTTATTAATGACGTTTCGAAGTATATATTACAGAACAACCAGCATGATGCAAGAAAAAGATATATATTTTCTCAATATTTCTGAGACATTTTATTAGAATATGTCATAATAGGAAATTTATAAAAAAAAACATATAATCTGAGAATAAGCAGTAATGGTCATTTTGGCGATAAATGGAAATAATTATTGGTTTATCAGTTAGAATGTTTTATATCAGTGCACCCCTAAAACATCTAAAAACACAGACTGATGGGGCCTTACTTGAGAAGTGGTGGTGGAGGGCTGAAGATATTCACTGGGGCTGACTGCGACAGTGGTGGCCATACTGTCCTTTTGATCTGTGAGAAGAAGGTGAATCTATTTATGCAAAGAAAACACCAGAACTCTCCAACTGTGATTTCCATTGGGGAAGGAAATAATGCAGCAGGAGTTATTTGCACTACTGAAGTCCAATTAATTCTGTGCTTAGACTGCGCATGCGTGCGGTGTCCTTATTTTCCAAAGTACCACAGCATTGTGATTAATGTCTGCATAGAAACTGAAAATACTGAACCGATTGTTCTGTTAAAATCAAAAGAAACTAAACTTAAAAATAAAGAAACAAAAACATGAATGGCATGCACTTTCAGTTATGACAAGTGTAGCTAAGGAGGCGATACCTGTGATAATCTAACCCCTGGAGAGGAGTGATTCAGCGGGACAGGGTTTAAAACTCAATCCACTATTAGCACACCATTAAAAGTTCTCAATCCTGGTCCTGAAGTGCAGAGCTTCTCCAGAACCAGGACTGAGATCCGCTACTCTAGTGTATTTACATCTATGGTCAGCACCCAGCACTGACCCCGCATGTACTAAGATCTCAGATCCCAACCCAAATAAACACTTGATGTTATGGCGCTTACTAATTGGCTGTCAAAGCTAACGGTTTATCCACATTTATTTGAATGGGAACAAAATCATAGTAAGTCTAAAGAAATGACACCACAGTGATCTTTCTGCCAGCATATTGAACGGTTTTCCAACTTTACTACATAAAAGAACTTGCTCTCATAACAAGCGCTGATAACCAAGCATTGGGTATTTACAGCGAAATTCGTGCTTGGAGGGGAGAAAATGTTGTTTTTATGCATATATAAAGGGAAAAACGCAGTTTGGTTAAAGCTGCAGACTGAAACCAGCGGCTGACGCTAACAGGCTAAACGTCAGATGCCTGTAAGTGGTTGAGCTAAGCTAATGAAATTCATTCAAATATCGATTTAAGCTCACTTTATATTATGTTTTAATCAGCCGTCTACACGTTTACGTCTTTCTACGAGCATGCAGTGCGCGGCTAAAGGGTTCTTCTGTCTGCGGGCAAGCAGACTCAAGAGTGCGCTGATGGAGGAGCAAACTGCTGGCTTAGCATGCTAAAGTGCTAACTAGCCAGATAAACTCTTCGCTGCGGAAAAGAACCGCGATTCCGGAAGTGAGCATTTGATAGAATCGCCGTGCTACGCATGATTTTTGAAACTCGTGCGAGCTAGCTACGATGTAAAATATATATCGGTTCACTCGCTCGAGAAAATGTTTAAGAAAGCAACATAGTAATATAAACACCAACGTTATAATTCCTACCCACCGCTCATGACGACATTCACTCTCCGTGAAGCCTCGAAGAGCCCACACGATACCGCCCCCACCCGCGCCCTCTGGCCAATCCGGTTACTTGTCAGTCAGCGCGAGCTCGCAGTCCTGACCAATCATAGCGCAGCATTTGTTTGATTGACGTTTGTTCCGGCTAATGAGATAAGGTAGTATTTCTATGACAGTTGAAGGATATATTTTTGGCCAATAGATCTGTCGAGTTTTCAGGAGAAAGGCGGGCGTTGTGAAGCACTCAAAATAATAAGCCGAGCCAATAATACACAGGCTTGAATTTCACTGACGTTTAGCTCGCCCAGTTAGAAATGGGTAAAGCATATCAATCAAAAGTAATTGACAGCTATTTCGCTCGATCAGTCTGCTTGCACTTTGTTATTTTCCTATTGCAGTATGAAAGCAGGTGCTCCATCAGATATGTGGCTGTTGTCTCCTGAAAAGCCTGTGGTGCATCTCATTAATGCAACCGGCTGCTTTCTCAACACCATAGTGCTTTGATTCTGCAACATGACATTCATTGTGCATTTGGTAAATACCGTTTAAGTGACCCAAATATTAGTTTTTTTATTTATTTCATACAATAGGCGTGGTTAGCTGAATATAAAAACCAAAAGATGGAAAAATGTGTGTGTGCATAATCATATTTTGGGAACAAATTCATACTCAGAAGTGAGCTAAATCTGACATAACCTCTCTTTGGGGACTTAAATTGTGTGGATTAGGGTTAGGTTATAGTATTTAGAATTAGCTGTATATAAAAACCATTTAGATAGCTAAATAAACGTGTATGATGTCCCAGCTAAAAGTTACCTTGTTATTATGATATGATGACAGTAGAAAATAGTAATATATTCGTACTGAATGATTATCACAGTCACACACCATGGTATTAAGACCAGGCATTCCAGGTAAATAATTTAACTAATAGATATCAGTTGATTACATTGTTGATTGATTACATTAAAAACTACATTTTTTTGTATTACAAGTTTTCTGAAATGTTATGATTAAATGTGCAATAATTTGCATACATTTCCACAAGATAAATCTGAACATTGGATGAAGCCAGGTTCAAAATTATTGTTTCATTTTGTTGACTTGTTAGAGTCAAAGGTTTTTACAGAGGGGATTTTGGATATATCTTTTTATCATTCCATAAATCACAATGTTTTTAGGAATAAAATGATGTATAAAAATCAGGCAAATTATATATGAACAAACTCCTCCCTAAAAATCTTCAGAATATAAATAGGAATAACACTGGAAATTTCGCTACTGAAGTGGAGATTTCTGGCTTAGCGCACGAGAAAAAAAAAAACCTTTAAAGATATGTATTGTAAATGCAGTCTACAGACGCAAACAGATAAAGTGCAATAAAATAAAATTGAATATTTTTGATGTTTTGCCTGTAGTGCCTTGCCTTAATACAGAACACAAATTGTGCATGTCCCATATCTCTCTCTCTCTCTCTCTCTCTCTCTCTCTATATATATATATAAAAACCCTGGTAACTCAATATAATGATCTGCAAAGACAAACAGATATGTCCAATGGTGAGACAAACTTAAATTAATTTTATTATGGTCTTAAAGGCACAGTATGTAAGTTTTCACCACTAGAGGGTGCTTTCCAGCACTCCTCTGTACTCCCTCTGTCCGCGTGTTGGTCAAAGAGGAGGGGCCAGTCGACTGATGTTCATTGGCTTCTGCTGGAAGACTGGCAGGGAGTTGGAGCAGAGCTGTGCACCAGGAAGTGTCCATGCGCTGTTCCATCTATTATGCACACACAGAATTCCTAAAAAAGAATACATTTGCGTTTTGTTATTTAAACTTGTTGGCATTAAGTACAATATAATGAATGTAAATCAGGCAAAAAATACACTGAAATAAAAAATTATACTTTGGACATACTTAAGAAAATAATCCAATTTGGTACAGCCAATTGTATTAGTTTTTCTCAAATTATATTTATGGTTTGGTTCAAACCTTAAAATTTGATTTGATATTTATTTCCCCAAAGACAAAAACATTTACACAAAGTAAAAAGATTATTTATATATTTAAGACCATATCAATGTATTTTCTTTAGACATGAGCCAAAATTTTATCTTGTGTCGTGTAGGTCAATATAATATAATATATATAATAGTATATATATATATATTATAGTATATGTACTGTATAGTATAGTATAGATACTTAGGACCATGTGATATTTCAGTTTTTCTTTTTTAATAAATCTGCAAAAATGTCAACAATTCTGTGTTTTTCTGTCAATATGGGGTGCTGTGTGTACATTAATGAGGAAAAAAAAATACTGAAATGATTTTAGCAAATGGCTGCAATATAACAAAGAGTGAAAAATTTAAGGGGGTCTGAATACTTTCCGTACCCACTGTATATACAGCTTAATTTTATTATAAACAAAATCTAAATTAACTATAATATGAAAATAGCATTTTCACTTAAGATAAAAGCAAAAACATTGTGTTAGTCAATGTTTCATTTCTTTAACTGCTATGAATTAAGACAACTTTGAAATACCCAGAGGTGGACAGTAACGAAGTACATTTACTTGAGTACTGTACTTAAGTACACTTTTTGAGTATCTGTACTATACTTGAATATTATTTTTTCTGGAAACTTGCTACTTCAACTTCACTACATTTGACAGACAAATATCGTACTTTTTTATCGCTACATTTACATCAAGGTCCCCAAGTAGAAAGTCATTATATGTAGCAGTATGTCCAGTGTGTGCATTTATTCACTGAACCCTTTTTTCTGCGAAAATCCGGTCTGCGATCTGCCAGGACCAAGTCTTACAGTATTTCTAAGTCTGCAGTTTTCCGCCTAGCTTTGAATGGATGTTTAGCTTATTTTTTTACACAAATCTGGCAACCTCTGGACCTTCCCCGCTAAACTAATGTTAACGTCTGTGCTACTGCACAGCTAAAAGTGCTCTAAAAAGGCAAATAAGATAATAAAAGACGAAAAAGGCACATATTAGTGTGGTGTGATCATCTGTGTGCTCACCACATTGATTTTAAATAGACGGTATGTGATGCCTTATGTAGGGCGAGCGCTACGATCAAAGATCATAGAAGATAAATGATCGGCATACGGTAAATAAAAATGACCTACGCCTTGATCTACATGACAGAGAAATGTATAGTTTTTATTCTGTTTGAACTCGCATGTGTATGTGTTAACTCCTTAAATTAACCATGTTTTTACTATAGTAACTAGATTAACTATGGTATTTGCGGTAAAATCACAGTATCCACAAATTTACTATTCTCTCACTATAGTAACCATAATTATGCTATTTGTAGTAAAACTACAGTAGCCACAAATTTAACATGGTTTCATTATAGTAACTATAGTTTCATATTTGTAGTTAAACTATGGCAATACAAATGGTAGGCTAATATATCCGTCAAAAATGGCTGCTATTACCATATATAAAAAAAACCTTACTACTCAGGACTACTGGTAAATTGCTGCTAAAAACTGGTAAAGGAAGTATATAAATCTGAACATTATTTTATTGTCAAAACTGCACATAAATACATATATATAAATTTTTGCAAATAAATTATCAATAAGTAGGTTAAATGATCACACAGGTCAAAATGTTTTACTTCACTTTTTTACAACTTTGGAATCTAAACTGGGAATCGATAAGAATTTAAATCAATAAGCAGAATCAGAAAGGATAAAATTAAAACAATACCAAACCCTAGCCACATGTTGTGACGTTCACTGATTTATGAGCATTTTATGAACACTGATCAGTTGATGGCAAAATTCAAAAAGACGGTTCTTTGGCGTAACTTGCACACCCATGGCCATACTGAAAGAATATGTTCCAGTTTTCTGAAAAGACTAAAGATTTGTTTTCTTTTCAATGTTTGCTTTGTTTGCCTAAAATGAACCATATCATAGCCTTCAATATCTCTTTTAAAAAGAACTTTGTAACTTTTAAACAAGTATTAAAATGAGTTCAATGTAGCTGTAGGACTGTTAAATAAAAAATAAAGTTGATTATCTTCATTCAGTTGTTCCATTTCTATAGGTTTGGTAACATAAAAGCTCTTAATTCCAAAGATAATACAAGCTAATCAGTGTATTCAGTAGGTTACATTAGTGGCATAAGGTATTGTAAGTATACAACAATGTGACAATAAAACAATGCATTTACTTTTTACTTTTTATACTTAAGTACTTTTAAAAGCATGTACTTTTGTACTTTTACTTAAGTAAAAACCTGTCTTTACAACTTTCACTTATAGTGGAGTAGTATTTGACCAGTAGTATCTGTACTTTCACTCAAGTAATGCAGTTGTGTACTTTGTCCGCCTCTGGAAATACCTTAAAGGGGTCATATGATGCTTTTTTAAAGATCATTATTTTGTGTATTTGGTGTAACAGAATATGTTGACATGCTTTAATGTTCAAAAAACACATTATTTTTCAAATACTGTACATTATTGTAGGTCCTCTATGCCCCGCCTCTCTCAAACGCTTCGTTTTCTACAAAGTCCCTCCTTCCGACAAGCGCAGTCACCTCCTCTCCTAGGTTCACGAAACGGTCGTCCATAAAATGCATTGCTGTTCTGTTGTAAGTGATCTTAAAGATTCCTAAATGCATATACTTTCTGAAGGCCAAATAAAGTGCTTTTGCCTTCGCCTAGAAACCCACAGCGTCTCCCTGACATGGCAACACTAACGGCGGCTAC